AATCATTTTCCTCTGGCTGATTTTAGAACTTTTTTTCTTGGTCTTTAGTTTTTGTACATCTATCTCATTATGATGTGTCTGTACAAATTTCAATTCTACAATCCAGGGTTATCATTTGTAATCACCATGCTTTACATTAGATCCTTAGGCTTTATTCATTTTACAGACCTCTCCCTATTTCCCCCACCCCCATCTCCTGACAATCACTTTTCTACTGTTTTTTATGGATTGGACCTTTTTCGTTTTCTTTTTTTTAAAGATCCCCATATAGAATCCTCCTACACTGTTGCTGGGAATGCAAGCTGGTGCAGCCACTCTGGAAAACAGTATGGAAGTTCCTCAAAAAGTTGAAAATAGAGCTACTCTACAACCCAGCAATTGCACTGCTGGGTATTTACCCCAAAGATACAGATGTAGTGATCTGAAGGGGCTCCTGCACCCTGATGTTTATAGCAGCAATGTCCACAATAGCCAAACTATGGAAGGAGCCTAGATGTCCATCAACAGATGAATGGATAAAGAAGATGTGGTCCATATACACAATGGAATATTATGCAGCCATTGAAAAAATGAAATCTTGCCATTTGCAATGATGTGGATGGAAGTAGAGGATATTATGCTGAGCAAAATAAGTCAATCAGAGAAGGACAAGTATCATATGATGTCACTGATATGAGGAATTTGAGAAACAAGAGAGAGGATGATACGGGAAGGGGGGGAAAATGAAAGAAGATGTGACCGGAGACAGAGACAAACCATAAGAGACTCTTAGTCTCAGGAAACCAACTGAGGGTTGCTGGAGTGGGGGGTGGGAGGGACGGGGTGGCTGGGTGATGGACTTTGGGGAGGGTATGTGCTATGGTGAGCGCTGGGAATTGTGTATGATTGATGAATCACAGACCTGTACCTCTGAAACAAATAGTACATTGTATGTTAATAAAAAAAGAAAAATGAATTCTTGAATTAACAACAACAAAAAGATCCCCATATAAGTCATACCATGCAGTATTCGTCTTTATCTGGCTAATTTCACCTAGCATGATGCCCTCAAAGTCCATCCATGTTGTGACAAATGGCAGGATTTTCCTTCTCATGACTGAATACTTCATTGCGTGTGTATATTAGACATATATGTGTATATATATGATGATATGTGTATCACATCTTTATCCATTCATCCATTGATGGATGCTCAGCTTAGCTTTCTACATCTTGGCTGTCAAGAATGCTACAGGGAACGTGGGGGTGCTGATATCTCTTTGAGATTCTGTTCTCATTTCCTTCAGCTACATGCTCAGAAGTAAGATTGCTGGATCATATGGTAGTTCTATATTTTTAGTTTTTTGAGGAAACTCCATACTGTTTTCCAGAGTGACTGCACCCGTTGGCATTCCCACCACAGTGCACGGGGATTGTGGATAATCTCAGCAACACTTGTCGTCTTTTGTCTTTTTGGTGATGGCCATTTTAACAGGTATGAAGTGATATCTCATTATGGTTTTGATTTTCAGTTCCCTGGTGATGACTGATGTGGAGCGTCTTTTCAGCACCTACCAGGAATTCCTTCCCTACAGTCAGGACTGAGCCTTGGCTTCCACAGACTCGTGGCTGCAGCACCTTACAACTTCTAGGCCCTTCTGTGATACCCTTGGCATTTCCCAGGCCCAAGTTCAGGTCTAAACTAGTGATATGGGAGGCTCCCGAACTCACTTCCTTCTCTGGATACACCAAATCCACAGGTACAGAGAAACAATTCCTCTAAAAAGAAATCCAGAAACTAGGTGAACAATTCCTACATATCGGGCAAACGTGAAAATACCCACAGCAAACTGGGTCACCAGTGTCTCCCTGGAAGGAGTTTGTGCGTGTGTTGCTGCCCTGGCTTTGGCGGCTGCCATCCACAGGCCATGCCCCTTGATCACCTATTTCTGGTGGCCAGTGGGGCTTGCATTTGCAGGGCCCCCCAGGACTGTTCAAGGAAAGACACTGTTCTTAAACAGCTATCTGCCCAGGGCTCAGCACAGAGTATGCAGACTGAAATCCTATCTCCCGGGCTTTCCAAGAACGAGGACTTTGCTTACTTTAAAAGCTGCTGCCTGAGGGTCAGGCTTCTAATTTAGCACACATCTATGGCTGAGCCTCCCCTTTGGGACACTAATGGGCCTTGGCACACTTTCAACCACTGGGGGCCACTAAGAAGAAAGAAGGTGGCTTGGGCAATCACAAAGGTTTGAGAGAACCAAGAGTGTGGGCTGGGCTGAATGATAAGGTTCATCCTTATCACCTTCATGAGAACACTCCATCAAGATTCAGAGAAGTGGCTGTTTTATCAAAGACACAAACCAACACAGAGAGTCCAGGAAAATGAACAGAGGAATATGTTCCAAACAAAAGAGCAAAACTCCAGAAACAGACCTTTATAAAATGGAGATTAGTGACTTACCTGATAAAAAGTTCAAAATAATGGTCGTAAAGATGCCCACTGAGCTCAGGAGAATTATGCATGAACAAATGAAAATTTCAACAAAGACGTGGAAACTAAAAGAAAATACCAAACATAAACCACAGAGATGAAGAATACAGAAATGGAACTGAAATTCAACAGAAGGGTTCAGCTCAGACTACATAAAGCGGACTTGAAGACAGTACAATGGAACTCATCTGATCAGAGGAGCAAAAAGAAAAAATGAGAAAGAAGATAGCTTAAGGGGCTTATGGGACACTATCCAAGGAGGCCAAAATGTGCATTATAGGATCCCAGAAGGAAAGAGAATGAAGCTTATTCAAAGAAATACCAGCTGAAAACTCCCCTAACCTGGGGAAAGAACTGGGTATCCAATCAGGAAGCCATAGAGTTCCAAATAAGATGAATTCAAAGAGACCCACACAAGACACATTTTAATTAAGTTGTCAAAAGTTAAAGACAAGGAGAGACTCTTAAAAGCAGTAAGAGAAAAACACCTTTTGACATGGGAACCCTCACCCCCATAAGACTATCAGCAGATTTTTTCAGCAGAAACTTTGCAGCCCACATGGGAATGTCATGATATTTTCAAAGGGCTAAAAAAAAAAAAAAAAAAAAAAAGCTGCCAGCCAAGAATATGCTACCTGGCAAGCTGTCCTTCAGGATTGAAGGAGAGATAAAGAGTTTTCCAGAAAAGCAAAAGCTCATGGAGTTCATCACTAGACCAGCCTTATAAGAAATATTAAAGGGGGGGGTGTCTGGGTGGCTCAGTCAGTTAAGCACTTGCCTTCAGCTCAGGTCATGGTCTCAGGGTCTTGGGATCGAGTCCTGCATCAGGCTCCCTGCTCAGCAGGAAGCCTGCTTCTCCCTCTCCCACTCCCACTGTTTGTGTTCCCCCCCTCTCTGTGTCTCTGTCTGTCAAATAAATAAATAAAATCTAAAAAAAAAAGATTTTATTAGAATGAGCAGGGGGAGGGGCAGGCAGAGGGAGAAGTAGACCCCCCTGAGTAGGGAGCTTGATTCAGGACTCGATCCCAGGACCCTGAGACCATGACCTGAGCTGAAGGCAGACGCTTAACGACTGAGCCACCCAGGTGCCCCCAAGAGCTGGGTTTTTTGGTTTTTTTTTTTTAAGATAAACAAAATAGACATACCTTTCACTACTTTTACTAATAAAGAAGGGGACTCAAAATTTTAAATGAAATAAAAGACATTACAACTAATACCACACAAAGGATCATAAGGGACGACCAATGCCAGCAAATTGGATAATCTAGAAGAAACGGGTAAATTCTGAGAAATACACAACCTACCAAGACTGAGTCATGAAGGAACAGAAAATCTGAACTGCTCTGTAACTAATAACGAGATTGAATAAATAATCAACAACCTCCCAACAAAGGAAAGTCCGGGACCAGATGGCTTCACTGGTGATCCTACCAAACATTCAAAGAAAAATTAGCACCAGTTCTTCTCCAGCTCTTCCAAAACATAGAAGAGGAGGGAACACTTCAAAACTTATAAAGTCAGCTTTACCCTGATACCAAAACCAGACAAAAACACCACAAGGAAAGAAAAATTACAGGTCACTATCCTTGATGAACACATATGCAAAAATCCTCAACAAAATACTAGCAAACTGAATTTAGCAATGCACTAAAAGGATCAATTGAGTGGGATTTATTGCAGGAATGCAAGGATGACTCAACATCCACAAATCAATATAATAACGCCACATTAACAAAATGAAGGATAAAAGTCATATGATCATCTCAATAAAGGCAGAAAAAGGATGTGACAAAATTCAACATCCACTTAGGATTAAAAAACCCTCAAAGTGGGTACAGAGGGACCATACCTCAACATAGTAAAGGCCATGTATGATAAGCCTACCTCTAATCATACTCAACAGTGAAAAGCTTTTCCTTTAAGGTCAGGAACAAGACAAGAATGCCCACTCTCACCGCTTCTATCTGATGTAGTACTGGAAGTCCCAGCCACAGCAGTAAGACAAGAAAAGGAATTAAAAGGCATCCAAATTGGAAAAGAAGAAGTAAAACTGTCTCTATTTGGAGATGACATGATCTTATATATGGAAAACATTAAAGGGTCCACAAAAAGCCTGTTAGAACTAATAAGTGAATTCAATAAAGTTGCAGGAGGCAAAATCAATATAAAAAAATCAGTTGTGTTGCTACGGGCTAACAATGAACTTTCAGAGAAATTAAGAAGACAATCCCATGTATAATGTCACCAAAAAATAATAGAATACCTAGGAATAAACTTAACCAAGGAGCTGAAAGATCTGTACACTGAAAACTAAGATATTGATGAAAGAAACTGAAGACACACATAAGTGGAAAGATATTCCATGCTCATGGCTTGGAAGAATTAATAGTGTTAAAATGTCTACATCATCAGGGGCGCCTGGGGGCTCAGTCAGTTAAGCGTCTGCCTTCAGCTCAGGTCATGATCTCAGGGTCCTCAGGATCGAGCCCCACGTCGGCCTCCTTGCTCAGTGGGGAGCCTGCTTCTCCTTCTCCCTCTGCCACGCTCATGCTCTCTCACACTCTCTGTCAAATAAATAAATGAAATCTTAAAAAAAATAAGATAAAATTCTTGAAGCCATGCTTCAAGCTCTCCAGTGATCTGCATCAGGACGCAGAGCCCAGCCCCTCGTGCCCTGTGCCACCCACTTATCTGCTCTCCTGTGGGGACTGGTTCTTTGCTGCCCCTCTGCCTGGAGTGCTCTCCCCCAGAACTCGTCCTGGTGAGTCCTTTGCTTTCTGCTGCACCTCCAAGGGGCTGTCTCTACCCCTCCTCCTGCTCTCTCATCTCTCCCTAACCCCTTTCACTTGTTCCTACCAGCTGGGATGAAGGAGAACAGCTTGTTGGGTTGTCATCTTTGTCCCCCACTGAACACGAGCTTCCTGCCTGGCTGTCTGCTGGGCCCCCAGGGCCTGATTAGCGGTCAAGGGAACAAAAAGTAGACCTTATATAGGAGGTGTGGCTCTAACAAGGGCAGAGCTGGAGCAGCAAGGCCTGCGTGTGGTGCTGCTAGGAGGGTGGCCTTGGGGTGTGGAGCCTCCGCCTGAGGGGCCCAGAACTGGGAGGCTGTCCCCTGGGTGGATCGCAAGGCTGGAGGGAGAGAGGTCAGGGCTTCACACACTCATGTCCAGGTCTCAGTGTAGTAGCTGACCCCTCTGTTGGCCTCCCGCCCACCCTTTTCCATTTTCAGGAGCGTGAGACGGTAAGGGTGTGGTCGCTAGGGCCGTGGGGTGGGAGGAGCTGTAGGGGACCCTGGGCAGCCCCCCTCGTGAGAGCGCAGCTTCTGCCCCAGTGGCCTTCATCCCCCCAAATCTGAATGCAGAGGTCTGGCCCCCCAGAATCAACCTCGGCCCACTTGTGGGTGCTCCTGCTGAGCTGGGCACGAACCCAACAACCAGTCCCTCTCGGGGGGGGGGCCATGACTCTTGGATTTCTCTTTCTCTGAAAGGTGGTTTCAGTGGGGAGGGGCAAGCCTGGCTTGGGTGAGGGCGGGGCGGGTGGGAGAGTGTGGCAGCACCCTGTGCTCCCCTCCGGCCCAACCCCTCCATCTCCCCCGGCTGTCTTGGAAACAGCTCTGCCCGGCTCAGCCCAGGCCCCGGTCCACCCTACTGCCTGGCGCCCTCTCCTGCAGGGCCGGACCCCCACCCCAGGGCTACGGCCCCCACCTGCCCCCTGGCCACAGCAAACTGACCTTTCACTCCTTTCTGTCCTTGTGGGGACTAGCGGAGGTGACGTCACAGTCCCAGCCTGGCCATGGGCCACAGGCTCCCTCAAGACTCATCCTGCGGGCAGGGCAGAGGCAGCTGGGGAGGGAAGCCCCCATGCAGCCCCCACGGCCGGCTGAGCAGAGCAGAGCCCCTGGGGGAACCTCCTGGCAGCTCACAGGCATGCGCATATGCACGCGCAACAAGTGACAGACATGGACACGCGTGTATACACATAACACACCAGACACACACGCATGTGCCCGCACATGGGCACACACATGCATGTGTACGTGGGCAGACACGGGTGCCTGCGCACACACATCCCCGGGCTCCCCTTCACACACGCCAGCTCCCTTAGGGAAATGCAGGCTCGCCCCCAGTTGTGTGGACAACAGAAAGGCCCTGGGAATGTGCCTCTGGCCTGAGGCCGCAGCGTCAGCCCTCCCGCGGGGACAGAGGAGTCCCGCTCGAGATCCGCACTGCTCCTGGCAGCCCCATCTCTCAGGCGGGTCTCAGATTCCTGCGCTTCCTGCCCAGTCCTGCGCGCAGCCCCACCCGGCCGGGCGCTGCTGGCTGCTGGGGCTATTTTAAGGCCGGCTCTGGGCCTGCCCTCCCCCAAGCTTTGCTACTGGCCACCTGCCGCCGCCCGTCCCGCCTGGAATGCTGACTGGCAGTTGGCCAGGGTGGGGGCTGGGAACAGACGGTTATAAAACTGGGCGCACCTGGGAGGCTGCCGTCCCCCTCTGCAGCCCGCTGCGGTCCCCAGTGCCACCATGTCCACCCACCGCCTTGTGATGGTCCGGCATGGCGAGAGCACCTGGAACCAGGAGAACCGCTTCTGTGGCTGGTTCGACGCAGAGCTGAGCGAGAAGGGGGCCCAGGAGGCCAAGAGGGGCGCCCAGGCCATCAAGGACGCCAAGATGGAGTTTGACATCTGCTACACGTCAGTGCTGAAGCGAGCCATCCACACCCTCTGGACCATCCTGGATGGCACGGACCAGATGTGGCTGCCCGTGGTGCGCAGCTGGCGCCTCAATGAGAGGCACTACGGGGGCCTCACGGGCCTCAACAAGGCCGAGACAGCCGCCAAGCACGGGGAGGAGCAGGTGAAGATCTGGAGGCGCTCCTTCGACATCCCGCCGCCCCCCATGGATGAGAAGCACCCCTACTACAACTCCATCAGCAAGGTGGGCTGCTTGGCGCATCAGGGGAGGGTCTAGGGGCAGGGCCTTGGGGATGGCAGCCCGGGCGGGTTGGGGGGCTGGCTTCCTGGGCAGGGAACGGCAGTGTGGATGCCCCCAGGAGCGGCGGTATGCAGGCCTGAAGCCTGGGGAACTGCCCACTTGTGAGAGCCTCAAGGACACCATCGCCCGGGCCCTACCCTTCTGGAACGAGGAGATCGCCCCCCAGATCAAGGCTGGCAAGAGAGTGCTCATCGCGGCCCACGGGAACAGCCTGCGGGGCATCGTCAAGCACCTGGAAGGTGAGGCCCATCCTTGCAGGGGGTGTAGGCGGAGGCAGGTTGGGGGGCAGACGGGGCACATGCCCTTGAACCAGTTGGGCCCCAAATGCTCATCTCCGCTACAAGCCCCCCGCCCAGGCAGCTCTGCACACGTAAGCACTCGGGGTCGGGGCTCAAACTGTGAATTGGGAGTACTAAGAAGCCACTTTAAAAGCCACTTTGCAAAATTTTTGTTCCACTTGTTTATGTACTGGGACACCATATACAACGAGCTTCTTTCTGGAGGTTGTGGGTGGAAACCGCTGCTCCAACCCGGGGCCCAGAGGCCTGGGAAAGATGGGAAGGCCGTGCCCAAGGCCGCCCGGGGCCAAGGCAGGGCCGCCTGGCTCCAGATCCACTTGCTATGTGGCCCTGGTCAAGTCACACCACTTGCTGGGTCTCAACCACCCTCTCCGGGGTCGGGGGGGGCTCATGAGGCCCAGGGCAGGGGACCCCAGCTCACACCCACGCAAGGAAAAGGTAAGCCCAGTTAAGAGGGTGCTGGGGTGGAGCAGTCCTCGACCCCAGCCTGTAGCTGGGCTCCCACTAAGGAGCTCGGGGCGTGCATCTCCACCGGGCTCCCTTAGACATACAGATCCTTGGGAGTCTGAGGCTCGGAACGGCCTTCAAGCTTGTCGGGACTGTGGAAAGGGGAAGAAGGCTGGTAGGTGGGGAGCCCCAAACCCCCTGCTCTGGGGGTCAGTGGGTAGCTGGCCAGAGCACAGACAGGCTGGCCCCCGAGGCCTGCCCAGTCCCAGTCCACCCTCCCCAACACCACCTCGTGCCCCTCCCTTCCAGGGGCCGGGTCTGGGAGAGAAGCGCAGAGGCCACCGTCACTGCAGTCTCCCACTGCCTGGAGAACCGGGCGGGGGGGGGCGTGTCGGAGCTGCAAAGGTCAAGCTGCTATTCCAGGCCAGGGGCTGCAAAGGCCGGCAGGGTCAGGTTTCCCCGGGAAACCTTGCCCTTTCCACCCACAGAACCTCCCCTCCACCCTGGTCACAGGAGGCCCTTCTCGCTGTCCGAGCACCCCTGCTCCTGATGGCTAGAACTTAGAATGCTCTAGAAACCAAACAGAAAAGACCCAATGGCGTGGCCCCAGGTCCCAGTGGCTCCCGGTTGGGGGCACAGGGTCCCGGTTTGCCACGGCTATTTCTGCAGGCCACTCAGTCTCTCACTACTGGCTCGACCTCCAGGGGCATCTGTGCGGGGGGCTCGCTGTGGGGGGCGGGCGGGCTGCTGCCTGGCTGGCCCGGCTCTGTGGCCCATAAAGGTCACGGGGCCTGCTGAACGGGAGGGCGGGAAACTGCCTGGCGGACTGGCCAAGGGGACTAAGGGTCCTGTTCCCCCGGCCCAGGGATGTCGGACCAGGCCATCATGGAGCTGAACCTGCCCACAGGGATCCCCATCGTGTATGAGCTGGACCAGGCATTGAAGCCCATCAAGCCCATGCGGTTCCTGGGTGATGAAGAAACCGTACGGAAGGCCATGGAGGCTGTGGCTGCCCAGGGCAAGGCCAAGTGAAGGGTGGGCTTCTGTCAATAAAGGCACCTCCACCTACCACCTTGAGTCCAGTGTGGCCCCGGCATGCCCGGCTCCAAGTCCTTGAGCTAGGGGTTCCACAAACCCTGCCCCAGGGCATGTGGCCCCTGCTGCCCACCCCCATTAGGTGAGAGGACCCCAGGAACCAAGGGCAGGAGCCTGGTCCCCAAGCCAGGCTACCAGGTAACTTCTAACAGGCCCCCTATGGTGACACCAAGAAGCGAACCACCACCTGGTAACCTCGCTCTACAATCGGGGTGCTATCCCCAGTGAGCAGGGACTGCAGTGAGGACACCACCTCACAGCTGCTTCCCTCAGATGGGCTGTCCTCTGCCGTCCCTGCAGCCCCAGGGTGGGCCGGGTGAGGTGGTACCAAGCCCCACACCCCGGGCATCCTCACATCTGAGGACAAGCCCACCACTGGCTTCAGAGCCTGCAGTAGGGGACTCCTGGATCCTCCGCAGCTCGGGGGTGGAGAATCAGGGCTGGCGGGGCCTGCCTTTGCAGCCTAGGGTACAAGAGGGGCCATCTGCCACCACCCGGGGCCAGTGGTCTCCTTGGTGCAGCCGCCATCCCAGGCTGCTACCTGGCACCTGCCAGAGCACAAGAGGAACAGTTACGTCCCAGCATACAGTGGGCTCCATAGGGCACCTCACTCGACACACGTGCACACGCCCTGCATGGGCAGGGCGGGCGGCCCAAGCCCCTCCCAGAACACGGACATGCAACAGGCTGACTCGAGTCACATCTTTATGTTTATGCCTCTCCCAGGGCCCACCGTCGGCCCGAGGTCTGAGGGTGCGTGCGTGTGCACACACACCTGCACACACACCCCACGCACACCCGGGAAGGGGCTGGTTTCCACACGGAGGCGTTCAGGCCACAACAGGGCAGTTCTCTCTGAAAGCAGACACGGGCGGGCCGGGACAAACAGGGTGAGACAGCAGGTAGCGGACGCTCTGGTCCCTCTTCCGGAACCAGGGTCCGGTGCGAGCACACACAGGGGCCGGCGGAACAGGGCGCACCACACGGAAGGACACGGGTTTGCTGATCATACGCTCAGACGGGGGCTCGGTCATCCCCGTGCCCACTGCCCACAGGCAGCCCAGGCAGAGGGACAGGGAACCGGGAGCACAGGGCGGGATCCAGAAAGGTGACCTACTGCTGCCCAAACTGTCACGACCCACTCAGACTTTGGTCCTAAACGCTAAGGCCACTGTTCCTGAGGATCACTACCAGCTGGAGCTACCACCCTTTACAGCCAAGAGGAAAGGGGAAAAAAAGGCAAAGGCCCCGGCTCAGACTGCCCGGCGGGGCAGCACCACCCTCCTCAGGCAGAGGCCACGGAGGGCCCGGCCATGGGCAGGGCTTGGCTCCACGTCCTCTGTGGGGGTCAAAGGCCAGGCTGGCTGGGAGGGCCTGCAGCTGCCGGAGCACGTTTGGGAATCATAGGGTATTGCTGCATCTAGGGTGACAGGCTGCGCACCCCAGTCTGAGGGAGCCCAAGGGCTTGTCTTCTTTGGGGGGGGTCCCATTCCTGGAGGAGTGCCGTGGGGCTCTTGCACCATGCACGCCACATCCCCGGGAGTAAGGAAAGCACGTGTGGGAGGGGAGGGGAAGGACGGCCTCGGCGCAGCCAGCAGCGGAGCGTCCTCACTCGATGAGCTCCACGTAGTTGGCAGGAAACATGCCAAAGTGGCCGTCTGGCCCGTAGCCACGCCACCAGCCCTCGTCGATCACCTCGATGCCCGTGATGAGATTCTCGGGGTCGAAGGAGATCTCTGTGTCGTCAGCTGCGGGAGGCGGCACTGGGGCTGGGGGCCTATCCCAACGCCACTCCAGCGGCCAACCCCCCGCCCCAACCGACACACTTTCCAGCACAACCTGACCCTGGGCACCCCCCTCTGCACAGCAGCCTGCTTCCAGAGCCTCCAGCCAGGCCACTGGGGGCCCGGCGTGCAGGTCCGCCCACCCCTCTGGTCACACTTTCGGGCTCTAGCACAACGCTGGCAACTAGGGTTCCTGCCCACAGACGCTGCCCAGAGTGCATGGGAAGGCCTGGGCTGTGGAGGGCGTCCACCCCATCGTCCCCTCACCCTTCTGTCCCCCCACTGCCCCAAGGGAGCCCCCGAAGTCTGCCTCCTGACGTGGGGCCCCACAGCGTGAGTGGCCGGGCCACCGCACATTACCTGCCTGGTAGTCGTACAGGGCCCGGGCACAGAGCCCTTTACCGCTCAGCTCCGGGTAGTGTTCAACGGGCTCAGAGCTGGCATCCTGCTGCTGCACCTGACCCGTGTGGAAAGTAGAGAAATCTGGGGTCCTTGTTATGGGCTCATACCAGGCTTGGGGGGAGGGGCACAGCACACAGAGGGCAAGGGCTGTGGCCATGCCACTGCCCCCACGATGTCCCTCCCCCAGACCTCCCGTGGAGCAGGGGAGTGCCAGACCACGTGTTCCACACGCCTGCTCCAACATTAAACGAGACTCCACATGTAGCGAGCTGTCGGGAGTCAGGCATCCCACGGATGGCGTGGTGAGGAGGGTGTTTCTGGGCCTGTGGCCCCTTCACAGCCGCGCCCTGCTGCTGGGAACCCACCATCGGGGGCTCCTCGTAGAGCATCTCTTGCTCTGGGGGCTCCTCGTACACAGCCTCCTCTTCTGCCTGCACTGGACACGGTGGAGCGCTGGGCACTGGCTCCTCACGGACATCTGCACAGGAGGGTGCAGCCC